TATATTTTTTGTAGAGACAGGGTTTTTCCATATTGGCCAGGCTGGTCTTGAACTCCTCACCCCAAGTGATCCGCCCGCCTCGGCCTCCCAAAGTGTTGGGATTACAGGCATGAGCCACCACGCCTGGTCTTAGCACTCCTATTTTATTAATTTAATTTAATTTTTTGAGACAGAGTCTTGCTCTGTTGCCCAGGCTGGAGTGCAGTGGCGTGATCTCGGCTCTCTACAACCTCTGCCTCCCTGGTTCAAGCGATTCTTCTGCCTGAGCCTCCCGAGTAGCTAGGATTACAGGCAACCACCACCACACCCTGCTAATTTTTAGTATTTTTAGTAGAGATGGGGTTTCACCATGTTGGCCAGCCTGGTCTCAAACTCCTGGCCTCAGATGATCCAGCCACCTCAGCCTCCCAGAGTGCTGGGATTACAGGTGTGAGCCACAGCACCCAGCTTGCACTGTTTTTCAGAAACAGGCTCTTGCTATGCTGCCCAGGCTGGTCTCTAACTCCAGGCCTCTAGGCATCCTCCCACCTCAGCATCCTGAGTAGCTAGGATTATAAACATTCTGAAATCTTAGTCATATATGTGTATGCTTGTGGCAGAGAAGTGTGATGGGGATCGTGACACAGGCTTCCAAGGGTCACGTCTTGACTCTGGGCATGACCATGGTGCTTGCTTTGGCCAATGGGACATTGGCAACCATGATACCAAGTAGAGCCTTGGAAAGTGCTTGCACACTGGGGCTTGTGTGCTCTTGTTGCTTTAGGAATCTTGAGGGCACCTTGGGAAGAAGCCTGGGCTCACCTGCTGGAAGATGAGACCAAGTAGAGCAGAGACAAGAAGTCCCAGCTGAGGGTCCTCCAAACCAACCAGCTTGACAACTGCCAATGTGTAAAATCACCCTCGATTACCCAGCCTCGGCTGAGCCTCTAACAGCCTGCAGAGATCAACCAAGCTGGCCCAGGCTGGGAGAACGGCTCAGCAGCCCCCAGAATCATGAGAAAGGATAAATACTTGGCCAGGCGTGGTGACTCATGCCTGTAATGTATAACTATGAGGACTATGTAATGTATGAGGACTATGTATCTGGTGAATACATTTAAAAGAGGAGGATAAGTCAAGTAATAGTTTCATTTTGAAATATCAGTATTATGTTGATAATTGTGGAAACTAAATGATGGATATATTCGGGCTCACTATCCTAGTTTACTTTGGGTATGTTTAAATTTTTCCCTAATAAAAATGTTCTTAAGGCTGGGCGCAGTGGCTCACGCCTGTAATTCTAGCACTTTGGGAGACCGAGTTGGGCGGATCATTTGAGGTCAGGAGTTCAAAACCAGCCTGGCCAACATGGTGAAACCCCGTCTCTACTAAAAATACAAAAAAATTAGCCAAGCGTGGTGGCAGGCATCTGTAGTCCCAGCTGCTTGAGAGGCTGAGGCAGGAGAATTGCTTGAACCCAGGAGGAGGAGGTTGCAGTGAGCTGAGTTCGCACCACTGCACTCCAGCCTGAATGACAGAGTGAGGCTCCATCTCAAAAAAAAAAGTTCTTAAAAGTCAAAAGTTACCATTTGTTGGAAATTATACATTTTATAATTATTTCAGGTGAAAAACTAGACATGTATGCTTCCATTAATTCCAAAATTCGAAAACTTTAGAAGTCAGAATAGTGGTTACCTCTTGGGGTTGGGAACCTGGATGTTTTTTTTCTTGAATTTGGGACTGTTCAAACAGCTTTGTTATCTTGGTGAAAACTGTTAGCTTATGATATGTATGTATTTTTAAATATTTGTATTATATTTCAATAATGAATTTTAGAAATTAAAAATCAGGTGAGAGGAAACTGGTACGATGGCTCACACCTGTAATCCCAGTATTTTGAGAGGTCGAGGCAGGAGGATTGCTTGAGCCCAAGAGCTCGAGATCAGCCTGGGCAAAAAATCAAAACCTTGCCTCTATAAAAAAATTTTAAAAATTAGCTGGGGTGGTACATGCCTGCCATTTCAGCTACTCAGGAGGCTGAGGCAGGAGAATCACTTGAGCCCAGGAGTTCCAGGCTGCAGTAAGCTATGATTGCACCACTGCACTCCAGCCTAGGCAACAGAGCAAGACCCCATCTTAAAAAAAAAAAAAAAAAAAATCAGGTGAGAGGATACATGGTTTTTCAAACTTCTTTCATAGGCAAGCAAAGGCACTGGAAAATCATTCATGCACCCACCTGTGAAACAAGGCTCTCAGACTGACTGTCCAAGGGGTCAGGCAGATGTAAATAAGTGAGGTAGGATAAATGGGGACCAAAAAGAACCAGACGGGGGATGAGACTCCTAATGACAATACTGTTGCTCATATCTCAATGACAGCTGTTATGTGGGAATCAGACCCCGGGCCACCAGGTGTACTCAGTCATTTTACAAATACCAACTGCCACCGGGCACAGTGGCTCACACCTGTAATCCCAGCACTTTGGGAGGCCGAGGTGGGCGGATCACGAGGTCAGGAGATCGAGACCATCCTGGCCAACATGGTGAAACCCCATCCCTACTAAATATACAAAAATTAGCTGGGTGTGGTGGCGCGTGCCTGTAATCCCAGCTACTCTGGAGGCTGAGGCAGGAGAATAGCTTAAACCAGGGAGTCAGAGGTTGCAGTGAGCCGAGATCACGCCACTGCACTCCAGCCTGGTGACACAGCGAGACTCCGTCTAAAAAAAAAAAAACTAATACCAATTGCATGACCACCATCTGTGACTTTCTAGCTATCATGATCCCAGGTGTGTAACTGAACCTTTCTGAACCTCAATTTCTTCATCTGTTAAATGGGTATAACCACAATCCCCACCTCATTGGGCTATTATAAGGATTAAAAGAATTAATGATATTTATACATTAATGACTATATATATAAGGCTGAGTCCCCCAGTTGCCACTTCCAGTACTCACGGCAAAGTTTTTCACTCCTCCAGGGGTGCACTGTGGCTCCAGCAGCCTGGCATGCAGCAGCATAGGTGGCCAATGCGTCACATAGTGGCCCAGACTGGCCTGGCAGCAGGCAGCGGTCATACACACAGTCACGCACGGCACCCTGAGGGTCCAGCTTGCTGTGGCACTCTCGGAAGGGCCCCTGGGGGTCTGCAAGGATTCCACACTCATTCTTGCTCTGCAGCTGCTGGGCCACCAGGGAGTCCAGCTTGGGACAATCACCAGGTTCAGTTGCTCCACAGCCAGACCTCGTCTCTTCTTGCCAGCTGTTCCCAAAAGCCAGTGCATTGGCAGCTTGACCCCCACCCCGCAGAGCCAGGTCATCAGCTGGGTCCCCATTGAAGTTCCCACAGAGTCCACACAGGGCCTCAGCATAGCTACTGGGCACCTTGGCAGTCACTCGTGCATCCCAGTTGTAGGTGACAGTCAGACCAAAGTCTGTGCGCACGACGGCGTCCCTGCCCTGGCGGAACACCTGCACCTGCCCATCTGCTGCTTGGAAGGGCAGGTACTGAAGGACGTCATCCACCTGGGTGGAGATGCAAGAGGGCCACCTGGTCAGGGTATTCACGGCTCTGTGGCCCAAGCTTCAACTCACTCACCTCCAGCTACACTGACCTCCTTGCTATTCTCTTGGACATACTATGCTCAGTCCCACCTCAAGGCCTTTGCACTTGCTGTTCCCTCTGCCTGGCTCACCATTCACCCCTCTTCATTCCTAAAGCACCAGCTTAAATTTAAATCCCTCACCCATGGCCTTCGAAACCTACATGATCTGTCTATCTCCCCATTACCTCCCTTACCTCACCTCTTCTCACTGTCCCTCTCACTCAGGCTGCTGCGACCATACTAGCTTCCTTTTTTTTTTTTTTTTTTTTTTTTTTAACTTATC